CAGGAATACGATCCACATCAACACTCAAAATCTCTGTGGCATTTTCATATACACGTGGGTGGTCTGTACGTACCCTATTGAACAGACTTTGGCAACCTAATTTTAAGAATTGAATTAAAGAAATGTAGCAAGAATTAGGGGCTTACACATGTATATATTAAGTTCAAGTCACAAGAACGACCGAAAACAAGGTTACTGATAGGCAGAAATGGGATTTCTGGTGGGAAAATTGAAAACAATAATGAAATTAACAAAGCCTTTCTTTAAAAGCCCGGCAAGATTGTGCCCCGAGGACCACTTCTAGACGACTTCTTTAACTCATGTAAGAGTGGTGAGAAGTCAGTGTGTTACAACAGTAAGAAGACACTGCAGTTCGCATCCTGTACAGTGTAGCAGTTATCTAAAACCTTAGCACCAGCTACAGAAGGTAGTGTAACCATGGGAGTGCTGACCGTGATTATACTGCCTGTCCTGCTGACTGTGGTCGCCGCGGAGGCTGGTCAGGGGGCCGCGAAGGCTGGCAAACTGGGGGCCGCGGAGGCTGGCCAGGGGGCCGCGGAGGCCAAGAAGTTCCAAGAACAGGCAGAAGAACCGTCCCTGTCTCACATCCCCGACACCATCAAGGCAATGCTGAGTGAAGGAAAACCCAACAGCAAAGGTAGGACATAAGGATTACTTCAACAAAGGTAGGACAGAAGAATTACTTGAATATGCCATTCAACTTACACTTTGTACACTAAGACTAAGTCTCTCAACACTCAAAATGAGATGCTATGAACCCTGGGACAAATTGAGCTGCATACCACTACCCAGTACAGGTATAAACCTGTGAAAATTATCTAGGTAACAGGGAGCACAGATTTCTTCTACTGATACTATTAATGTGTGCTGTGTATTAAGTAGGTCGTGTTTGTTGCCACCGCTCATAAAAGATGAAGCTAAAAACTTTAGATCTTGTTGGAGAAAAAAAGCCAAAGTGAGATGATGTTGTAACCTCCGCGACCGTTACCTGTATTCTGTAAAATTCAATGAGAACGAGCCTTAAGCTGGAGTCACATTTCCAACGGGGCCTGCTCGGCATGTTCTTAGTGTAGACTTCGAACCTCGTCCGGCATGGTATGCCGATGCAACGTCGTAACTTCACCGGACCAAGCCGTAACCTAGCCGCCGGGTCCCGCCAGGCGGCCGCACAGGCAGCTGTCCAAGATTATGACTTCACTTGTGCTGATCTGTGCTTTAATTGTTTAGAAGATGGTGGTTATAGAGGGTATTGTGATGTTCTCGACATAGCTCCATCATCAGTGAGTAGAATGACCACAAACGGGTCTGTGCATTTTAAATAGTGGCGAACCCACCATACCAGCCAGGGGCGTACCAGCCAGGGACTCGCTAGGATCACCCTTGGACCCCGCCAGGGACCCTGTTGCTGCCCTGCCTGAAAACCCTACCGCATCCCTACGGGTCAAGACAGGAGACTGACCGGGCACCGGACGGGTCCCTAACAGAAACCGGAGGAGCCGTAAAGGAACATTTAATTGTGACCCCTAACAGCCGGCGCACGCTCGGCTTCATGACACCGGCCGGCATCTACACCGAGAACATGCCTAGCAGGCCCCGTTTCACATGTGACTCCAGCTTAAGTCAGAGATTAAACATCATGATTGAAGCTCGACTCACTAACAGCGAGGATTAACTGACCCGCTGGGAGAAACAGGGGCTGCACATGCAGCTTTGGTTATTTGTCCAATATATTTAGTACTGAAAAAATTGTCTTTAAAAACAGGATACCTATATGTAGAAAGGTCTATCCAATTATACCACCAACAACTTTTCTATATGGTTCTCTATGTGGTAAATTAATGGGATAGCACCCCTGTTATCCCATTAAATTCTCTTTCTGATAAATCAATGAGATAACAGGGGAGCTATGCCATTAATTTACCATACTGGCCAAGATTTTGGTGGCACATAAGGCCATGTTGCTTTGATTATATGGATGACATCCGCGCGCGTATGAATTTTCGGCCGTTTCAAAAAAAAAAAGTTTTCAACCATACTGTAAATCGTACAAAACAGTTGCAAAATGAGCACAAATATACCGTAAGTTACAAAAAAACCATACCATTGTCGTAGAATGCCAAAATCAAACGAAAAAAGACGAAATTGTAAAGAAATGAACCTGAAGACTAGATTATTCGCCAAACCATATTCTGTCCCATTTTATCAACCCTCATGACCACGTAGATTTCATAATGAAAACAACTCTTTTTTTTTTTGCAAAACTTTTTTTTATTCGCACGCGCGCATCAATTTTGGGGTTCCCGGAGGATGTCATCCATATAATCAAATCAACATGGCCTAAGGTGAAAAAAATGGGACGAACAAATTATATACACTTATCCACATAATATCGATTAGCACGTTTTTTTACAGTGAAATATTTTTCTGTACTAAATAAATGTGATAAATATTCAGATTTGCACGTGCAGTGTTCCCCAAAACTTCAAAACACCTGTTGTAAGGGACCTGGCGATGTCATTATACATGTACTTCTATGTATTAATCTGGTTACCGGTATTCGAAGAGGGTGGGTGCATTTCGCATTTTAAACACAGTTTACCTGCTTATGTTGCATGTATGTTATCATTTTCAACATGATCCATATTTGTCCTGTTTTTTTATACAAAACTTGTTTTCCAGTATCTTGCCCTGAAGGTTACACAATGTGGCGTGAAATCTGCAACAAGGCCTTCAACAAAATGAAGACCTACAGCGAAGCGGCGGCAGCCTGTCGTGCAGACAGCGGCACCCTCGCCATGCCCCGAGACGCCGAGACCAACGCCTTCCTGATCTCCCTGCACAAGTCCGTGAGCGACGGTTGGCGCTTCTGGATCGGCCTGCACGATCAGCGCGAAGAGGGAAGGTTTGAGTGGGTGGACGGGTCTGCACTTGGATCGTACAACTCCTGGGGTCTTGGAGAACCGAACAACTTTCTGGGCAAAGAAGATTGCGTCTCTTACTCCTCAATGTTATCCCAGAAAGACAAGTGGAACGACGAAAACTGCCGCATGCCAAATCACTTTATATGCCAGGCTGCACCAGGTACTTCTTGTATCCGCACTATTTCATGAAGCCATTTCATTCAGTAATCATCGCACAGCTCGACTCACTGAGTAATATTGAGGATTAACTGACCCACTAGGAGAAACGGGCTGCACATGCCATGTTCACCAGACTTCATGTAATAATTATGAATAAACCCCCTGTTCCTAGGGACCTGGCTTGGACCTACACAATGTTATTATGTATTACTGAGGTTCCCCCGGTATTTGAAGAGGAATGTAACAGCAGTTTAAACTCTCTATTTTTGGTTGGCTTTAGTCTAATGCGTTTCCACACATTTTGGGCGGGTGTGATTTTTTTTTTGGGGGGGGGGGGGGCTATCTCTGAGATCCGAAAATTGAAACTATGAAAATTGCACAATGATAAAATCTACATATATATATTTGAATGTCTGTTTTTACTGTGATACAGTATTTTTTTCAATCATTACAATTCAAAAGAGACCAAACAAGACCTCTCAGATCATACATTTGAAAAATAATCTTCTCGAACCTTCCTATCTTCTAAACACCATGCACAACTATCTACATCTTCTCAATTTATGCTTTACAAACACACATACATAACCTCCTGCAGAGTTTTAGTTAACGTATTGTCGCAGCTAACTAAAACCCTGTCTATTCTACGCCAGCACGGATCCTAGATAGTGAAGCACCCCAAGGCGCATTGAAACGTAAACCAGACGACCTGCGCCAACTGTCCGCCACTGTTGAAGCCTTGAAACGCGACCAAGACGCCTTAAAGCGCGTCCAAGACGCCTTGAAACGAGGCCAAGACGCCTTAAAACGCGATCAAGACGCCTTGAAACGCAACCAAGACGCCTTGAAACGCGCCCAAGACGCCTTGAAACGAGACCAAGATGCCCTGAAACAACGCGACCAAAACGACGTGCGCCGACTGTCGACCACTGCTGACGCCTTGAAGCGCCGAACCACCGCCACCGAGCTGCATCTTCACAAAATTGGACACACTATAAGTAAATTGGTTTTCAGCTGTTATGTTGACTCATTCTGATGGTCTTTTTTCCACCACCTTTAGGTTAAAACTCTTAATACGGGGCACTGGTATCTATGTTGGGAGGCTGGGTGCATTTCACCTTTTAAAAACAGTGTTTAACTGCATACGTTGCATGTGTCATGCTTTTCAACATGGTCCATATTTGGCCTGTTTTTGATACAAAACTTGTTTCCAGCATCGTGTCCAAAAGGTTACATAGTGTGGCGTGGAACCTGCTACAAGGCCTTCAAGAAAATGAAGACCTTCAGCCAAGCGGCGGCAGCCTGTCGTGAAGACGGCGGCACCCTCGCCATGCCCCGAGACGCTGGGACCGACGCCTTCCTCATCTCCCTGCACAAGTCCGTGAGCGATCACTGGAACTTCTGGATCGGCCTGCACGATCAGCGCGAAGAGGGAAGGTTTGAGTGGGTGGACGGGTCTCCACTTGGGTCGTACAGCTCCTGGGGTCCGGAAGAACCGAACAACTTTTTCGGAATGCAAGATTGCGTCTGTTACTCCGCAATGCCACACGAAAAAGACAAGTGGGACGACCAACAATGCTTCATGCTGTATTACTTCATATGCCAGGCTGCACCAGGTACTTCTTGTATCCGCACTATTTTATGAAGTCATTTCATTCATCAATAGTTGCACAACTTATTATCTGGATAAGGCGACGGACCATCATTTGGCGAACTAAATCATTTTTCATCCCC